AAAAATAAAAATGTTCATGAATTCTCACTAACAACTGATTTATGTACAACAAACACATTTTTCTTTTTTCTTTGCAAGACGAGCTCACAGTCCGCCACCGTTGCGTAGATTCCTGTATTCGATCCTCCAAAAGTTCATGTGCCGTCCTCCCAGGGGTTCCACTCTGAGCTGCATTTTCTCTCCGATGTCCATGACGGCCTGCTTCGGGAGGGTGTCTGCCTCCGTCGGGGGCCACGCGTCCGGGATGAGCTCGGTCAGTTCCAGCGGCTCTGGAACGGGTGACCTGGAAACACCGAGGACAGTAAGGTGTTGTTGTTTTTTTTTGTCAGAATGTTGCTTCCAGGGCTTCCAGTGGCCTTCCCCGGGGCACGCGTGGTGCGCGGTGGCGCGCTCGCATCCGACCTACCCAGTCTTCACAAAGTTGGTCCAGAGAGTGGTGACCCTCTTGATGGTGAGTGCGGCCGCGGTGTCGGCCGTCACGTTTTGCCCGAGCCCTTCCACGCGCCAGATGTACCCCATCTCATCCGTGTGCACGGCGCCTGCAGCATAATTAGTGAGAATCAAGGCCTGCTCGCTCTCGACAAAGTTTCATGTTTCTATTTGCGTCTCTCTCGCACCAGGGCGTCTTATGGGAAAAGAGAGACCGATAAAACCCCTGAAAGTCGGAGTGGACAGAGGCACTGGTGAGAATTGACAGGCAGAAGATCTCGTTTCGGCGTCGATTGTACTTGATATAACCTTCCGTCAGCAGCTCGCGGGACCGGCACTAAGTGCACGCTAAGTGCAGCACTCACCCGGCCTGTCGAGGCGGCGGCGCGCCCTGCCCACGTTGTACTCGCCCTCGAAGCTGAAGCGGTACAGGTAGGTGGGCTGCGCGGCCGCCTGCACCCTGCGGGTGGCCAGCCTGTGGATGTCGGCGTTGTAGAAGACGTCGTTGAGAAGCTGGTGGATGAACACACCAGGTTGTGAGTGACATATGGCCCTTACCTTGCCCCATGCGTTAGCGGCCACACCAACAAGACCGTATGTGGACTTGAGGTGCGCGGCTGCGCGGCATGCCTTCCAGCACCTGCTCACCTCCACGACCTGCTGGCTGCTGTTGGTAATGTTGGCGCCGCCGAAGTACTCCTCCCGCACCTGATCGGCGATGTCGCGCACCTCTGACGGGAACGTCGGGGGTTGCTCGTCCTCGCCGCCCGCCCCGTGGTCCACTGGCGGCCTGCTCACGTTGAAGACGGCAGCCGTGTCGTCGCTGGGCCACAGGTTGAGCGGCAGCAGGTGCCACAGCTCCGTGTTGTAGAGCTCCATGCGCTCCGGGAACAAGTCCCACTCTGCGGGGGCAAGGAGAGGATGAGGGTGCTGCTGGCGCTGGGCGCTGGCCCTAAGCCGCCACACGCACTCCCGGCCGTGGCAAGGGACTCACTTAGGTTGCAGAACCGCAGCAAGGCCTCCTGCGAGGTGACCCCCATGAGGATGGGCAGCGACGGCACGGGGCGTTTCACCACGAGGTACTCCGGGTCGTGAGGTAAGAAGACCTCCTCCTCGTCCTCTTCGCCGAGACCGTGGCCGAGGCCACGCTGCAACCGGCGCTCGGGAGAAGGCACGAAGGGCACGAAGTTGACGCGATGTGGGCGCGCAAGCGTCACCTCGGCGTGGCCACGCAGCAGCTGAGCCACAGTCGCGTTCCGCAGCACGTCCTCGACGTCCTGGGTGTCATTGCTGAGCCTGGCGGCCTCGGGGTCGATCCTGGCAGCCAGCTCGGTGGCGTAGCGGACGTGATCCTGGGTGTAGGCCCATTGCGCGAGCGCGCTGCCGCTCTGCAGGATGGCGGCCCGGGCCAGCCCCGCAGCCGCGGGCGCCAGGGTGAGGTAGTGCGCCAGGGCCGCCCCGGACCCGTGGCCGCCCACCGTGATGCGGTCCTTGTCGGCGCCGAACGCGCGCGCGTTGCCGTGCAGCCAGCGCAGAGCGGCCAGCGCGTCCTTGAGCGCCGCGTTGCCCGGCACCCCCTCCGAGTCCAGGCTGGCGAAGCCCAGCGCGCCCAGGCGGAAGCTGGGGGTCACGACCACGATGTCGTGCTGCAGAAGCAGCTCGGGGCCCAGGTCTAGGGCGCCGGCGGAGCCCTGCAGCGAGAGCCCGTCAGAGGTATCGTCAGTACGACGTCATTGGGGTGCATATGACATAACAATTTGGTGTCAAGTAGAACGAACGCCGGCAGGACTCACCCGTTGGAACCAAGAGCCACTGCCGTGCAGGAAAAAGAGCACGGGGAGCAGTGGCCGAGCGGGCGCGGTGTCGTTGACGGCCTCCTCAGGCGACATCGTGGTGGTGGTCGTGGCGGGCGCATCGGTGGTGGTCTCGCCGGCCAGCGACGCGGCGGGGACGTACACGTTGAGGTACAGGCAGTCCTCGTCGCCCAGCACTCCCTCGGCGCTGTCCGGCTGCCCTTGCGGGCAAACGGGGCCCTCTGCCACCGCGTCACGGACACCCTCCCATGGCTCTGGCGCTCGCGGTGCCTGCGACAAACCGACAGCAAAATTGCCAACAGTTGAAGCCTTCGGTGCACGCACTGCCGTGATGCCCCTCCCCGCCCCGCCCCACCCGCTACGCCCCACCCACAACGCC